GCCACTAACCCTCCCAGCTGCTCAGTTAGGGTGTGGGTACGGTTCATGTATTTTTGAATTATATGAGTAACAGTATATAATGAAGGGGTAAATTTTCCGGTGCGCCACTGATTTTTCGCTAGCCAAAATCAGAAACCACCCTGATGAAAGGGATAAACCACTGCTATCGGTAGAGTCAACAATTTACAAATATCTGGTAAAATTTTCAAGTACCCTGGGGTTGATTAATGAAGAAATAATAGTCATACACCTTGAAACTATCTATTCAAATCATATGATAACACCATATCTATATTTATGTAAGTGAAATGGCATTCAAGAGAGCATTCAGATTTCAGATATATAGTTTTGTACATTGAATTGATGCAAATATAGGGAAGGTCCTAAGAAGGGCTATTCATGTGACGTCACGGGGATAGCTTACAACTTAATATTGAATGTAAAATTTATACAGGTATATGGGGCATTCCCTTAGGTTTTATGGTGTGACAGACTTATCTGAATGCTCAGTGGAGCTCCTATGGCGTTACTTATGATTGAATCCCTCTTCTCTCTGGTCAAGGCAATCAGGCCTCAACTGGAAGACTGCTCGTTGTCGAAGACACAGCAAAAACTGCAGGTATTCTTGTTAACCAATGTAGAAAACTCTAGACAAGTAGTGTAGATGTATATGATATATACCAGCACGAGTCTATGGTCCAGACATACAATGACCAGGGACTAGGGTGAACAGTAGTACTAGAGTACTAATAGTGGGATGAAGCCTATGCCTAGGGCAAGAACTAGGAGTAGGACTAGAATTAAGACTAGGACTAGGACCCTAAAAATAAACAATACTAGTCTGAGTTCACTTCAATTGATTGCATAATGATCATGCTGACTGACAAAGATAATACTAACCTCTTTTGTAGCTGAGGGTTATTTTAACAATCCCGATGTTGTGAATTGTCTGTGTCAGTTATTTCCACAATGGTACTTGTTGAATATACAAGACAGGAGCTCTGAAGTTATAAAAAGAAACTTACAAGTCTGAAAATGTTAACCTCAAAAAAAAAACTTACTTTGGCTTTATATCCTGCAGAGCAGAAAATATGATTTCATTCAAAATACAAACATCCAATATTGGTCCAATACGTAATGAATCATATAATGTTGAAATTCTCCAAATCCATACAGAGATGATCGAAAAATTCGATGGAGATATTTCAATCGGCCATACACTCCCACAAGTACCAAGGAAGAATCAAAAGTGAAAAATTGAAATGTCAGTCAGATATCAAAAATATGAAATGTCACTGCTGTCAATTGCATCGATTTATAGTGATTTATACGCGAAACTGATTCCTTAGATCATACAGGAATCTGAGAATAGTTCTGTGACATATTAAACTTAAATGAACGACAGTATTTTCGTGATGACTGATGGCTGGCGCTGAATAATTTATAAGGATGGTGCGAGCAGATTCCAAGTGTAAAATCATCCATGAAACTTTTTATCGTCAGTTCGGATCCTACACTCAGTTGAAGTTTATAACAACCTCTAAGGCATTTACTCAGATCTCGAACTAAACTGATATTCATCCGGAATAAATACTCGACAAACAAAATCTGATCAGTGCTTACACCATCCGGATAAACATTTGATGAACAACTATTCGTGTTGCTGCTGAGGAAAAAGTTACGGTTTCACAACTGCTTGCAGACATTCGTGTTCTCAAGACGAACTATCGCTGACGTATTATGGACCCATCTCGGGTCAGAAAGAAAGTATCTGTACTAAGAAAATATCTCACATGTTATCTGTCAACTCTGTCATTGAATATTGACTTATAATTGTCAGAAATCGATTGTCAATTGATTTAATCATTGAAATAAAAATAAAGTAAACAATGATGGATCATTATATTTAAATGATATCTTACTGAGCACATAATATAATGTATGCGAAATTGTTTGAAATAAAGGTGAGTACAGTGAGGCGAAATACTGAAAGATAGTTCATAATACAGCATAACATGAAGTTATCATATAGCACAGTGAACATGATACCGAGTGTGACACCGATCTGATACTTAAGAACACGGAATTCAATGATTCCAGAATAATAATAACGGAGAATTCGTAGTGCAAAATAAAACCGTAACAATCGTCATTGTCGTCACTAGGAATGTAATCCGACGCTTCATCTATATCAAAGTCGCTACAGGATTCATACAATGCTGCCTGAAGCTCATCTTCAGTCAAATTACGAGGGTTTTTAAAAGTCGATTTCCTTTTTTTAGGCTCTGAGGGCCCTGCCACACTATCCGCCATTTTGTTGTAATATCAGCTGTTACGAACGTCCGATACGGAAACGGCGCGAAAAATATGAATTTCCTATGCTTTGGCTATATGCTAATAAGCGCACGACTGCTTTCCACCGATGCTCGCGGTACACTGCCAACCTGACTTAACAAATACGGGCGACACGGATCCTTGTCATGCGCACGTGGCTACAAGTGAGAGGTGACACGGATCCGGGTCATCAGCATTGAATGTGATACTGATTTTTTATAAATTTCCATTTCATCGCACCTGTACGTATTTTTGATCTATTTTTATTTGTCTGCCACAAACGACTTAATCTGTGGAGGAGTTCGTTTTTGAAGGCATTCTTTCCTACAATTGTGACATTCTTCATAAGTTGGCACTATACTGTGATCGATATAATGTCCAAAACTTTTTCTCACAGCTTGAATTTCAGCTGTTGTCCATGACACTCTCTCTCGTTCACCTGAAACTAATCGCCTTTTTCCTTGGTTTCACACTTAGCAACACGTGATCGTAGTGAAAGTTTTGGAAACATTTCCTTACAGTTTGGGCAAGGTCATCTCTGGCTTCTTTGGCAGAAGGCCTCCTTCTTATAATCAAAACTCAAGTGTTTAATTCTGAACTTGTATTGAAATCAAATTGGGCTCGCCTCCTGATAGGAGCAATAGTTTGTACTCGTGAAGGATGACCTGAAATTTTCAGTTATAGAATAGGTTAAATCATGAACATCTAACATGACTAAATGATGTTGAAGAAAAAACAATTAAAAATCCCAAAGTCTGTCGACCACAAAATCATTTAATAAGCGACGTGTTACTAGTTTCGGCCACAGGCCATCATCAGACACAAAATTGATGTAATAGGAGGAGGAGGAATAGGAACATTAATAATTTAAACACTAGTTACTCCTTTGCAAACCATATAATTGAATCTAACCATAATTTCAATATATCTGACAACATGGAATTCCTTCACATTTGTAATAAAGGCTCCAGGTTGAACCTATTGGAAATGCTAGAAATTCAAAAATGTATAAACAATCCCAATTTCACATGTCTTAATGAACAAACCAACTTTGAACGTAACCTCATTTTTCGTACTATGAAATTTCAATGATCAACATAACCCAGATGGATCTACTGTTATTCTTCTCCCAATCTCTTGGTCTCATTGCTTCAAATTTTGATTTTGTTATGGTTATTGTTAATTAATTTATATTGACGTCTCTTGTCGGTGTCATATTCTGTGTCACCACCTCAGTTTTTAGTTTCATGTCAGTTCCGGTTGACTTTGACATGTGTCACTCATTCTTCGACTATTTATTTCCTTGTGATTTATGATGATTCTGGTCCCTTGAATTCTATCTCAGCATCCATTTGCTTTTCGCATTTCTTGATGAATCTCACGTGAGAGAATTTTTGAATAATTATAGTTCCTGATGTACTTCGCCAATAACCCAATTTTAATTTGGTTTTACTGGACATTCTCCAGATTAAAAACTTCTTGAATATGCTGGACTGTCAACTGAAATTTTGGACTTAGCTTTTCGATTTTAATAATTTTCTCAATATGTTATAAGGTTAGTATAATATGATTGTATGACTCTTTTTACCCCATAACATTGTCTATCATTATATTTTAGGTACTATATTACATCAATTTTGTGTCTGATGATGGCCTGTGGCCGAAACTAGTAACACGTCGCTTATTAAATGATTTTGTGGTCGACAGACTTTGGGATTTTTAATTGTTTTTTCTTTAAAATCAATTGGACCACTTTGAGAAAAAATGGATGATTTCTATGATTTAAATGATGTTGGTTTCTAATGAATCATTGTGTGTAACAGAAATCATAGCAGGTAAGAAATCTTCAAATTCAACTTGTTCTCAATGTTTTGTAGTTATTCTTGACTATACCGGGTGTCCACGTATTGCGCAAAAGCTGTAAAGCTTCAATGCAAGATGATAGATTGATTTTGTATTCCCAAAAGGGACTAAATGAATGTATAACAAGCTCAAAATATGTATGAAAATCATTCAACAAATTTGTTGAACTCACCTGAAACATCAATAGGAGATGGAGGCGGGTTATTTTCAATTCGGGATTTTTCAGATGAAGAAGAACTGGCACATTCTTGGAACATCTGAATTTCATCACGATCTTTGTCTTTATCAGAATTATTACCAGTATTAGTATGTTCATCACAGTCATCATCTTCACCAAGAGCCCTCATGATTTTTTTTATGGGTATCAATGTGATATCCTAGATGATTTGCCATGTCTTCAACCAGCGGATCTGACAAATTGTACATTGAACAGGCAGTAGCAATTTGTTTACGGAGTTCAGTACCTCTTAACCTTGTTGGATAAGGAGCACCACAAGCCCTGGCATGATATCTCATCAAAGTACATGTTCTCAAGTAGTTATTTCGTGTTCTTCCAGGGATTCCAAACAAGTAAGGATTATTTGGCGATACACAATACTGTTCTCTATATTTCAATATTATTTCAATGCAATTTATGAGTTCCTTGCTGATATTTACTGGAACTTGGCGATTCAACTTTCCTCTAATGAAAAATCGTTCATATTTTTGTGCCAAATACTTCATGCTTTCCTTGAAATCCCTAAGAGAAACATCATCGGAATCCACAAACTGGTAGGTATTAAAATCATTCATCAAGATTCTTTCTAGTTCACCAGCACGTCTAATTGAATAACTGCAGAGATATCAATGTATGTCCCGCCAAATCTTTCCATGCTTTGTGATTTGTTCGATTTCAACAAGTTGTATGCTACCTTTCTTCCATTCGCTAAATATTTCATCAGAGCACTTATATCTTCCACAGTTGGAAGTAAAACTCTCTTATGTCTTTTGTGTTCACTTCGATTTTTTGTTACTGTTTTCTTGATTAGGTCTAACAAGTCACGTACTTCATCATGTTTCTGTTTGTTTCCTTTTTTTATGGTTTCTGTTAGCAAAACTACAGTTACTTCTTTGATATGTAATCCTAAATTGTAAGCAGTCCATACAACTTTATATACTCCAGTCATTTCATCAAAACCAGCAACTTCATTGATGGCTTGGACTATTGTGTCATAGTTCTTAGGTTGAATTATGTCTCTGAGGTCCTCAAGCCCCCAATCTAATCTTCTATGAATTTTCTAATTACTCGCAATCTTGAACGGAAGATATGAGCGTTTCTCTGATCGCGATATCTCCTACATAATTTGTTGCGATACAAGATACACAATTCATAATACGAAATTGCTTCAGTGACAACTTCTTGTTTGTTATGGGCTAATATTTCCCTAGCTAACCTTGTACTAGCCTTCTTGTGCACATGCATCTGAATTTGTCTACCTCTAACCAATATATCGCTCTTGCCTTCTTCTTTGGTATCACACTTAGCAACATGTGATCGTAATAAAAGTTTTGAGAACATTTCCTTACAGTCTGGGCAAGGTCATCTCTGGCTTTTTTGGCAGACGGCATCCTTCTTACAATCAAAACTCCAGTACGTGTTTAATTCTGAACTTGTATTGAAATCAAATTGGGCTCGCCTCCTGATAGCAGCAATAGTTTGTACTCGTGAAGGATGACCTGAAATTTTCAGTTATAGATTAGGTTTAATCATGGATATCTAACATGACTAAATGATGTTGGTTTCTGATGAATTCTTGGTAATAAAAAATATTCAATTCACATCAAGAAAATCAATTTGCAGTGTTTTATACAAGATTCTTGAATAGTTATGCTTTCTTTCCAAAACTATCTTGCTCATAACTTGTTGAATTTGATTAATCATTCCAATTCTATTCAATATCAATGTCAAAGAAAAAAAATACAAACCCAAGGTCGACTGACCACACTTTATATAAAAACTATCGAACAGTGACTAGTTTCGACACAACGGCCATGATCAGACTAAGGAAAACCTAAAATACAATACAAAAACGTGCACAGGAAGAACAGTAGCAGTGTAGAAATACAACATATAGGTACCTGCTTATATTCAGATGGTGTAGAAATGCAACATACCAATAATAATAACATAGATAGAATAAAATTCGCAATAGGTAATGAACAGGAATTCTAGTTGAACAACTGAATACTCGAATTTAGTACAAGGAACAATAATTGTTTGAAATTAGGATGAACTTAGGATACATATAGCAGGAATAATCCGAGTATGATTTTGTATTGTATTTCAGGTATTTCTTGGTCTGTTAGATCTATGGTCTGTTGATGGAAGTTAAGCCGAAACCAGTCACCATTTAAATATTGTTGTTTTTTATATTAAGTGTGGTCGACTGACTTTGTGTTCGTGGTTTTTCCTTTGAAAATACGTTGGACCACTTCAAGAGTATGGATGATTTCTAAAGTTTATTATTAATATCTAATTTTTTTTTGTTTTCAATATATTATAGTCTTAGAGCTGGGGCTGAATGAGTTTCAACGTGACTCGAGACAAGCCCAATTTCCTTCGAAAAAGGTTCCTTTCATGTACTTGTGCTATTGCCGGTAGAGGGATCTCTTGCAAAACAGTCGATCTTTCTGGTGGTTGTGTAGATCGAACTTCTGCTGTGGCTTCTTCTTCTGTGCAGGTCATGATAGGCAAAATATCGTCAGCGGAAAGCCGAGTCTCCAAAAGAACATATTTCTCGATTTCCTCCTTTGTCTTGTAAGGTGCAAGGTCATCCAAATGACCAGCCTCTACTAATTGCAATTTAACACATCTTACGTAGGCGCCTTCTGTGTCCTCTAGGGTAAGGCAGTTTGCTAATCTCAAAAGTAAATATGTTCCTAGCGATAGTTGCTTAGTAATGGCATCTGCTAAGAGCTCTCGTAAAACATACTTTCCTTCTGATAATGTGTAAGAAGAAGAATCTTGTCCTATCATTTCACCGAAAAGATCACATTTAAGCAATGAGTCTATCAATACATCAAAGGCAATTTTTTCATCTCCTGACTCTAACAAAGGTTGCACTATCAAGTCCGGCATTCGATAATAAGAATCGTTGTATAAAAAGAAGTAGAAAAGGAGAGAGGACAAGAACTGAGAACAATCTAATCTCTTAAATTCTGTCAGATTGACAAACGATGCCACAATTGCTTCCTCCATGTTTTTGTTTTCCAGAGATATTACTCTTTCTGTATTTCTTGATGATATCATCCATATTACAAATTTTCTCGCCATCATGACCGAATAAGCTCTCGCGCCGAATAATCTTGCCTCGTATCCTCTGATCCTAGCTGTTTGTATTTCAGGAGTGATTTCGTCTAAATTTATAGGTAATGCTACCCCTGCATAACTACTGTTGCTCATGGTGAATAGTTCCTCTGGAATCTCTGCTGTGCAGTCTTCACATGATAAAACTAAAGCCCATTCACCGGCCGTATTTACTCCTAATTCTTTGTACTGAGACAAACAGGATAAACCATATAAAAATGCAGACTGGAAACAAATGGTATAATTAGTCCCTTGTTTCGCATATTTGGTGGCAGTATCTGAGTTAATTACACAGTGACTAGCGTAAGCCAATGATTGATTAGCCATTCCTCCTCTTCGAAGTGCTGGACAAGACAGTCTGTGTGATATGGTGCCCGAATAAATTAATCTTGAATATTGTGTTAAAGTATTCAACGGTACTGATGTTTTCTCAATAATCATTGTTTCTATCAGTTTAGTCAATGATTCACTACCTTTTACCCAACTGTGCAATTCCATCAGCTGTTTGATGCTCTCCACCATGGTTTCTACTTCTAGAACTTGCAGAGGTGCTCTCTTCGCTCGTAGTCTGGTGTGTGATCCAAAGTACGGAGTTCTTTTTCCTCTTGTTGTTATTACGTCACTATGTATTGTCCCATCTACTGCTATCAATATTGCCCTCTCTCTCCAATTAGCCGGTATATCTCTCCATACATGTAAGGTAGTTTGTTCCTGTTGGGCAGGCATAGTTATTCCTTCAAGAGTGATACCCCAGGTTCTGCTTCTTAACTCATGAGCAGATCTCATAGTACACCCTTGTAGGTATGGTTTTAAGAAAGTTAAGTCTGAGGAAGACGCCTCTTTACCTTTATACCAGTTAGATAAAATTGATTCCATTCTTTTCACCCAAAGCAAGACCTCCTTTTCATTGGTCCACCTCTTAAACGCTACTTGTTGTATAGAGCGAGTATTGCTGAACTTTCCTAAATATTTTTCTTGTAAACCAGGATTTGATAATAAAGAGTAAAGTTTGTTCAATAGTCTAGGATCAACCGGGCTGATACACATCAGGTCCTCTATCAGTGTAGCCTTTTCTTGTTCCATTTCTTGACAAAACAGAGCCTTTATTACACAATTTATCACCATAGTAGAGACACCTTTCTGCACTTCTCTTTTTAATATATTCTCAGGTCTAGCGACATATCTCAAAGGGAGACATTGAGGATCCTTGATTAGAGACTCATAATCTACCGGATTCTGGAATCTCATGTTGCTCCAAGCACTAACCCACTTATAGACGTCAGGATATCTTTCTGAGGTTTTCAGAAGTCTTAGATTAGTGCTTAACATATCCTGAACAGCCCTAGTACAAAAATTGGCATATAGAGATATCGGCATTCCGCCCAGATATCGGCTAACCATAAGACTGGCAACACTTCTTTCTAAGGGTTCTTCCTTCAACCATGTATGATGATTCGTTATCAAATGAAGTGCTTCTACACTAGTACAAAAGAAAGCGTATAAGGGCATTATATCTTTTGATGCAGCTGCCGTTCCTGTCGAAGAGTTTTTGGCAAGACTATTGGGAATGTTAGGAAATATGTTTTGGAGTTTGCAACGCGCGTTGGTTGGGGAATGCAATATTTTGAGAGGTGGTCTTGTGTGCTGGGAATGTGCATGAGCCCATGACTTTGGGAGGGGACCGACGATGTCGATGGATGCCGTTTCCCATGGGTGTTTCACTTCTGGTCGTCCACATGACAACCCAGCGGGGGCCTTTTGTTCAGGTTTGTTTGCCGAACATATTTTGCATGGTCTTGCATGTTTTGAGGTGTCAGCTTTCAGTTTGGGCCGGTGATGTTTGGCACTAGTACGGTGGAGGGTCTTATGCACACCTCCGTGACCGGAAGTGGGTGTGTCGTGGTTTGTTTTTGTAACATCGAATCTCTCATTTTTGGGAGTGGCTGGTTTCCGGTCGAGCTCGGAGCCGGACGGTTTTGAGTGGGCATTTGAAACGTATTTGTAGGGCTTATCATTCTGGACGCGCCGTTGGGGTGGGTGTCTCGGGGGGGGGGGGGGGGGGGGTGTGACTGGGTCGATCTGTTTGGGATGTCATTTGTCTGTGATGTTGTTCGCGATGTCTTCGGCTTTGGCATCGTCTGAGCTTGAACTGGTTGACTGCACGTCGGGCGCAGCGCGTGGGGGCATGTCTGGTGCAGTGTTCTCTCTGCCTTTGCGATGGACGGTGTGGGGGTCGGATTGTGGTGGTCGTGGGATCCAGCGAGCGAGGCGGCCGCTCGGTTAGGGGAGGTATTGTGGCCACGTGGGACTGTGATGATATGTGTGAGCCGTGAAGGTGTGCCCTTCCAAGTATGCGCGAAGTTTTTCGATCGCCCAGACAATTGCCAAACATTCGAAGATGTAATTTGCGAATTTATGGGATGGACAATCTCGGCAAAAATGATCCAGTGCATACAGTAACAGAATTTGTGAGGAATACAATGAAAATCAAAGATTTCACCACAAATGATATTGAATCTTGTTATAAACTACCAAGAAATGCGTGTTTTGTGAAGTTATCTAACTATAAAACAAAACAAAGTGTTTACAACGCAAAAAAACTTCTCGAAGGTACCAAAATTATAATTAGGGAAGATCTCACACCTTTCCGGTTGAAAGCTGTGAATGCCGCCTCTTCTAAGTATGGTTCAAAGAACGTCTGGACTATAGATGAGAATATCAGGATAATCATCGACAAAAATATTGTGAAACCATCCATTCAAGATCTTCAACAACTCATCAAAGAAAAATCTGATAAAGATGAATAGCAACAGACCTATTAGATCTCGTAACTATATTGATATCAATTATTATTTTCCAATTAGTTTCAGTTAGGCATTCTCGTTTTCTCCCTTATATAAGTGGAATATTTATAGGTGGTATGTATTTACATGAATATTCTTGAATCTCAATGTAAACAATAACATGCATATAATATGAATAAAAATAGAGCAGGTATATACACAAATAATATCTATATATATATATATATATATGTGTGAATATATACCTAATGACTGCAATGGCAGAGATAGTCATCGTGAAATTTCTTTCTTTCATGTGTAAATTACGGGGGAAATGTTATATTCTGTGATTTGATGATGTATATGTTTATATATAGTACCTACCAGTTACATATCAGGGTACACTTATTAGGGTATAGAGCTTAAGGAAAAACCATATTTTTTGCTTTTATCTACTTTTTATCATGTTACTCTTTTTGTTTACTTTTTCTAACTGTGGACCCAAAATTAAAAAAGATTTTCTACTTCAACAGTAACATGATGGGATAGCAATCAGATTAAACACTTAATTTCTTTTTCTTTTTTTTTTCTGATATATCAGTATCTGTTTCAGTAAAATGTTTAATTTCTAGGACACATAGGATTGGAGGAACACTGTCATGTTTCTCACTGTTGCCACATTGAATGTAAGGTCACTGATTGCCGGATTTGACTTCTTCAAACAATTGATCAGAAGACATGATTTTGATACAGTCGTTATCACCGAAACATGGTTATCAGCCAATATCTCAACGGACATCGTGAGTATCGATGGATATAATATGATGAGACAGGATAGAGTTGAAAGGGCAGGGGGAGTAGCATTGTACTACAAAAATAATATACAGGCAACTAGAATTGCCATAGAATATGGTGAAAGTGTTCTGGAGCACATGTGGGTGAGTTTTAAAATAATGCAATTCCACTATTGCGGTCGGAGGCCTATATCAACCACCAAACACAAGAGTTGCTGACAGCATCACAACATTAGAAAATATAATTCCAATAGTTCTACCACAAGTAGATAAAATTATTCTGGCAGGTGATGTAAACGTAAACTTTCTCAACACCACTAATAATATTACCATTGAATTCCAGAATTTTCTTGAGGCCTATGGTCTAATAGTTCTAAATAACGAACCAACTAGAGTAACTAATATAAGTAGTACCCTCATTGACATAATTGCAGTTAGTAACACGGATTTGGTGATCGATACACATACCTTGAATGTGGACGAAATATCAGATCATAGCTTGGTTTATACCGAATTGAATTATCATAAACTTAAACACAAACAATGTTTCAGAACATTTCGTGATTTTAAATATTTTTCTTATGAAGACTTTTTCGAAGACCTGGCACACATGCCTTGGTATGATATTTACTTATTAGATGATGTAAATGAAATGGTAGATAGGTTCAACACTTATATCAGCTCTGTTTTCGATGTGCATGCTCCAACAAAAACAGTAAGAATCAGTAAAAAGAAGGCACATTGGTTAACAGATACCCTAAAAATAATGATACGAAATAAAAATAGTGCAATGGCCAAATATAAACGTACGAAGAATCTGAGCGATTGGAATCACTATAAAAATCTAAGAAATATGACAACAACGGCAATCAGACGAGAAAAAAAAAAGGATTTCTCACCTATGTTCAAAATCAAAATGATTCAAAAAATTTATGGAATACTCTACATTCCACAATCCACTCTCCAGTATTGAGACACTCTGTTATAAATCTGAAATAGCTGTGCTCTTAGAGTTCCTGAAATCTCCTGCTACCACTCTGCTAAAATTCACCGAACAAGAATTGCACTATATTCCAGTAGAGTGTATCATTGAACATGCAGATCCCTGTGACCTATTAATGATATGGCACAAACTTCTTCGAGAATATCGCAGCAACTTTAACATACAAATCAAACTGCCATGCTTCGTTCATTATAATCGTTTCGATTGGACTACACACTGGGATGGACCGCCATCTTCTCAAGAGGCATGTCATTTTTGTAGAAAAGGATTACTTGAATAAATAGATTATTTATCTTCGTTTTCGTATTCTTTCACCCCCATGGGCCGCATTGTATATATTTTTTTCAATCTTCATCAACTCAAACACCCTGTATATATTTCTTTCAACTCAAACACTTCTTCCATGCTAAAACATGGGACCGCGAACCGTGGGACACTCTGTATATATTTTTTTTTCAATTTTCAATCGACTCAAACGCCTAGTATATGAAAATTCAATCTTGTTATTGTCATTACAGTGTTATTGTTGCGGTTTCGATAAGCTCACGCCAGCGCTACCCCGCTTCCCCGCTAGAACACAGTTATTTTCATCACATACCTAACTGAACGTTTCCTCACACATTTCGAATATCTCATAAACTTTGAGACTTTGCATATGGACGAACCATTATTTTCGAAGTGCCCGTTAAAAATTCTTCTCTTAGAGTACCCGCACCCTCTTCAACCCTCTGATACCCCAAAGTGGGGTAGTATTACTGCGGATCACCCTGTATATATTTCTCGACAATTATACAACTCAAACACCCTATATATTAGATTGAATCATTAGCTAGCGGGTAGCCTATATGCTGGTGGTCTACTCGTCGAGGAGGTATAACGCCTTTTTGGTTCACTCTATATATATATTTTTCCCCAACTATTAGCCAACTCATACACCCTGTATATAGCCATTATTGGGTGAAAAATGTAATGAAATGCGCACCGTTATCTCTGGAACGGATCTCTCGCTTTGCTCGCCGTCGGAGATGGGTGACCTTGAAGGGGACCAAAAATTGCAGAATGGACCTTAAAATTCGCTGAAAAAGTCCGTAGATCTAGGGGAAAATCTGCTTTGCTTTACATTGGCTCTTATGGGGCTTCCTGTCGTACATCGTGTAATTTCCGTAGAATCTAGGGAAAAATGACTTAGAATTTTGAAAATTGGTCTGGAGTCTGTCTAGCCAATTTACTCAGCTATCTTACTGAACGAAGCCAATCCGTTATAATGAGCTCTTCCAAATCAGAATCTTCACCAATTGAGGGTGGAGTACCACAAGGCTCAATTCTTGGGCCAATCCTTTTCTCAATTTACATAGCAGACTTCCACAAATATGTCAAAAACTGCACTGTTCATCACTTTGCCGACGACACACAAATTAATTTAAAATTTTCTACTAATTCAATTCCCGAATCCGTTGAAGATGATCTTTTATCATTATATAACATTTTGGCTGCTCATAACCTCAAGCTTAACCCAACTAAATCTGTCGCCATATTCTTCGGCCGAAAATCTAAACGGGCGCTACTAAAACCTGGCTTCAACATCAACTTAGCAGGAACACCCTTACCTATGGTTGAAGAAACTAAAAATCTTGGCTTATGGGTTGACGAAGACTTGAGATTTACTAAACATGTAAGTGTTATCTTTGTCAGAGCTCCTATAATGTACTGAGACAATTGTATCCTAATTGTGACATATTATCAACTAAAATAAAACTTGAATTGTGCGAATCTCTAGTATTATCCAAATTTTCATATTGTGATAGCATTTACGGTCCAGCA